TCTCACCGTTGGATCACCTACCTACGCCTGGAGTTGTTACTCCATGTCACGTCGTTCAGACTCCTCTGGCCTCCGCTCACCACCGTCCGCCTCTCTCCCAACCCTCCTCCTGGACTCCTACTACCGTCACCAGCTCGTCTCCACCTCGTCCCACAGACTCAGCTACTTCCTCGCTCCCAGTCCACCCTCACCTGCCCCTGGTCTGTGACCGTAAGAACTATTTTAAAGAATAGCTTTTACTCTTGGTTCTCTGGTTCCGAGTTGTTCTCACGTGTGTTTTAGATTCCGGTTCCTTCCTGTTCCCGTTTGGAGCAGCGTCCTTAGTTTCCCTCATCGTTATTTAAATAAAAGAATTATATTATTTTACTTTTGTTCTCCGTGTGTGATTCTTCATGTCCTGGGTCAAACTGCTTACCCACAACATGACAGACCCTCTGTAGGGATGTCCGAGAGGGGTGGGCACCGACAACAGCACGGAGCACACCCATCGGCCCTCACAGATTGCCCGTCTGCCTCTGAGCGTGGCTAGACAACCCTGCAGAGAAAAATCATTTGCTACTACTACAGTTGGTCTAGATTTCTAGGGCAATGAGGGTTAAGTGTCTTGCCCAAGGACACAACAAGATGCTTCCTACTAAAGCTTGGTTTATGCTTGACGCATTCACTTTCCGCTTGGTGATGCGGCTCGCGGATGGAACGCGCTTCACAACTCGCAGCGTTTATGGTTCATGCGGCTTGTCTCTGCGGTGAGCCAATATTCTCCCAAACTGTAGGGGGCAGCATGGAGCTCTACGGCATGCATCCAGCACTACACCATAGTAGAAGTAAAAAATACTGTTGTTTACAACATGGCATTTCAGCATTTTTTAACAGCGTCCTTGTCTTTTCCGACCGACAGTGCGAGCTATTTCTCTCCAAGAATTATTAACAACATGTTGATCACGGTGATCTCTGAGAGCTGAATCATACAAATGTCTGTATTTACAAACCTCTGCCTTACTAGTTCTTGCCAGTCCACCATGTTTTTCTGCGTCCGACCGTCCGCGTGGTAAGAAAATTTCCTAGGTGCGCGGTGCGGAAAGTTTGAGCCGTGCGGAGGCGCGGTGGAGGGGCGTGGTTGTTAAAATGACGCAACTTTTCCGCGCTGAGCCGTGCGGACCTCGCGGACGCGTCAAGCATGAACCAGCCTATAGTCTTCTGATTGTTTATAAGCATACATATCACCAGCAGCCATAAGAGTGGGCATAGCTCTCTGGTTTTCTGTTACATGCATTCACATTTTTTATGGTTCTCCGAGATGACGGGTCTTGTGGGTTTGCTCTATTAAATCTGATATTTGAGGACATTGATGAAATGAATCAGATTTGAAGCCAAGAATATTGTTTTCCTTCAATTCCTATCTAAATTGCGTGATTTTGAAGCACAAAGAAAACAATTTTCATTCCTCTTAAGACTTCAAGTGACCTCACAGTTAGATTTCTCCTGAGAAAATGAAAGTGGTGAGACAAAATGCACAATCGTCAGAGGGACTGCGTGTCAGAGCTAAACGATGCAGCGTGTTTCAGTCAACAGCCCGGCGGTGAGATGAAGGACTATAACAAGGCTGCTGTTATCACAAAGGTATAGATTTCCAGTACAGATTGGAGGTTGGATCAGAAAATGGCGTTTTTGGTGTGTTATATAAAAGATGAGGGAGGCCAGAAACCAAACACAGAAGCATGGAGGGGGAGATTTCAGACAAAGGAACCAGATTAAAAAGAATGTGAACGACTGACGGATCAGAAAAGGTCAGCGGAGGTGGGAACAGCAGATTTGGGCCCTTGAAGATTTTCATCGTCCCCCAGAGTTTCAGATAATTTGAGGTTTTGTAGATGAGAGCCCAACATTGGGACTAGACTGGAGGACGCCTGCGTGAGTGTGTCTGAGGAGGCAGAAAGAAGGGACCTTGGAAAGATTTTGTTTTATATAAACATCAGAGCTTTGCTTCTGATCTGTTTGTAGGTATATTTATGTCGATGGTTTATAGGCTGGAACCGTTGGATATCAGCTGTTTTGGTCTTTGATTTGAGTTATGGTGAAAACATTTTCACACACTACATATATAATTCTTATATCTGAATGTCTTTTTTGTCTCTATTAACTAGACAACAGTTTCAGTGAGTTGTTTGTTTTTAAGAAATGAGAATGTTAGAGCTCTAAAGGGTTTTCCACATTGATGAGGGAATATTGAGTTGTATGAAAAAGCTGAGTATTCCCTTGTTTCCTTGAATTTTCCTATCAGCCAGACTTCCTGTGATTTTTTTTAAATGGTCAGGTTCTTCAGGCTTTCTGAAGCTCAGCTGATGTGTCTCACTTTCTAGTTCAGTGTTTTTGCCCCCGAGTACGACTTACAAGGCATTCATTCCTGTTAGAGACCACTGCAAATGCCTTGATTAAACAAGTGTTCCACAAATGAAACTACTATCTCCTAGATTTTAACAAATTAATTATTTTATGTATCAAACAGGGTTCATTTAGGTATTTTTGTAGAGAAATGTAAATAAACTGTCTTTAGGAAGAGCTGGTGGTATTTATAATGACCTAGCAGGTTGTTTTGCAAGCCTGTTAGCATTTTAGCCAAATTTGTTGTGTTTTTAAACAAAACTATTTCATTTGTGACATATTTTGTGATCCTATTTTAAAAAATGCAAACAAATAAAAAAGAACATTATTTGGAAAATGGTCAGAACTGGATTAATTTATTAACACCTTACAACATAAATGCAGATTTGTGATTTTTAGGCTAATTTGTTGTTTTTGCCACCATTGGTTCATCCTTTTCAGTGCAAACTAGTTTATAAATGACATTTGTTTATTTATTGCTTTTGCCTATAATAATAAAAACATCCTCCATCTGCCACAGAAATAAAAGTACTCCCAATACGGCTATATAAATAAACTTTACTTACTATACTGAATTGCTCTCATGGTTCATTCAGTGCACCCTTCTGCCTCTCTATTGTCTTTTGGGACTGCTGCTAATGCGGCGCCAGTAATAGCTTAGGTAAACTGTTATGTCTAATGACCGTCTCTGAACAACAATAGTAAACTGACATCAAAATAACAAACAAATAAGGCCAGAAATATCAAATCAGAGACAAATAAAACAAATAACTGGACTAAAATAAGATGAATAAGAAGGATTCATAAGGTTTATTTAAATTTAATTTGTCCACATGTGAGTAACATTGTTCAAAATTCACACTGTAAATAAATATTTACCACTTAAAGTGGCCACCATTAAATTTTGAAGACTTTTAGACAGACTTGCTTCAGGTGGAGTCCACAGTGTTCATGTCTTCTATCACAAACACACACATTACTCACTCATCCACTGACCGATCCTGCTGAGGAAAGGGGAAGGAAATGTTTGCTTATGCACAATCAGCTGACAAGCATCACAGTCTTTCCTGTCCTATCTAATGTGCAAGTCCACTGTAACTGCTGTCTGCGGCTCGTGAATGAGCCATTCATGGAGCATTTTGGGACAGCTTGATGGATAATTGGGTTTCATGCTAATCATTGGCCAGAAGTTTGACACCTCAGCCAAGGACATGATTTACCCAAATACCAACCTGTTAATCTGTCTGTGGCCACAACTCTGCTGCAAGGGATCTTCAGCTCTTTAGAAGGAGAGGATATACTACCACCTGCTGGTCAGCAACATAAAGTACAATTCAGATGTAGTATCAGGGCAGCATAAAGATGTTGGAGGTTTTTTTTTTTACATTAATTATATGAGATTTATGGTTAATTTTGGCAATATTTAAAAATATTTTAGATGTGTTACAACAGGTGAAGTTTCCTGTGATTCAGAGAGTTTCTAAAGCTGCATCAGGGATTTATGTTGCAGTGAGCCAAAATGCACAACATTTATATTTTTTAAAGCAGCAGATTTAGAAAATATTGTTGCTCTCCTCGTCTGTTTCCTGAGGTTTCACCAGCAGATAATGAGTGTTTCAGTTTTGTGAAAAAAGCAGAGGGCTGCGTACACAGCCCTGAGGACACCCAGTTCTGAGTGTACAGGTAGAGGAGAGAGGTGAGATAAGGCTGAGTTTCATGGATTTAGATTGTTTGGTAGGAAGTCAGGAGCAAGAGTGTGATTGAAGGTGTAAGACATAACTTAAAAACTCAACAAGATCATCTGTTTGAATATTATGAAAAACTATCCATGTTAAAAAAACGGTCAGCCTTCAGAGCAAAAGAAATGGGATATTATAATTAATTAAATTTGTAGTATTGTTTTTTCTTCAAGCACTTCTGTTCTATCTGGGCAAATTATTATTATCGCTTTAAAAATTCATCAAACGTGTTTGTTCAAACAGGTTAAGGAAATAAGAAAACAACTTGGTGATACTTTTATTTTTCCAAATTTTGCTGTATTCATAGCTGAGTTGTGAGAACTACATTTATTTTTGGGATTATACGAGTATTTTTTCAGGTAGATTGGATTTTCATTTCAATCACATGTACAAAAATGATTTTATGCCCCCATATAAATAGATCTATGTGATACTATTTCTTTAATTCTTATGGTTATAGGCAGAAAATTGTGCTTTTTAAAAACTCTTTTGTAAGGAAATTCTGAATTTTCACCATATTCAATTTTTTTTATTTATTAATTTATTTATTTTTACCTTTCAGATCATGTTTGTTTTTATTCTGAAAATGCTGGTTTCTGTACTGAATTACAGAACATTTATTAGTTTTATAGACGCACTAAATAAATCCTAACAGCCACAACCCCATTATATTTTTTCTTATTTCACTCATTTCTGTTAAGATTATGAACTTTAAAATGTTTATATTCTAAGTATATTTTTTTCTATCTCCTCCTCTGTCGGCACACCCGGTGAACACAATCGTACACACCAAAGTTAAAGCACATGCCCAAACGAGCATTTTAACCAATCAGCACTACGTTTAACTTATTGGGTCACATCTGATTGGTTGAAATTCCCGTCCGTCGAAGATAACTTCCGCTTTTGTACTTTTTCAATTAACAAACGCTCCTGGGACAAGCAGCGTTGCTTAAAACAAAGTTTATCGGGTTTTCGTGTTTTAACTCTTTATTACATTCGGCTTCCTCCTTGTGTTAAAGAAAAATGCAAGCTTTAAGGTAAGAATTCTAGCTTTATATGAACTTGTTTTAGCCTCGTTGAATTGTTTGTCCTGAAACAAGCTAATTTGAGCGTAAAATGGCTCAAAATAGCATTTAAAAGCTCAATTTTGTTGGTAGACATTTATTTTACCACTCGAAAGCCGATTTAAAAAATGTTGCTGCTTTGATTTGGGTTTATTGTATCAGTTTACTCCCATTTCTTGTTGGTTGAGACATCAGCTGAGATTTCTCAATCCCACAGAAACCTGTTCCGGGCCAGCTGGTCCTCTGATGTGAGACTAGATGGAAAAACTGCTGTCATCACCGGGGCTAACACCGGGATTGGTAAAGAAACCGCAATCGACCTGGCAAAAAGAGGTACACCTGACTGAAACTCAACTATTTTTTTTAACTCAACTATTTGGTTATCTATGTTATGTTAGTTTGTTTATTTGAGTTGTTGACCATGTCCCCCCCCCCCCCCCCGTATTTTACTGACTCTGGATTTTTATAGCCTTCATCGCATTTTTACGATCAATCTTTGATATGATTGTATTCTCGGCTTCGTGCTGTGCAGCACTTGTTCCAGCTTTGTTTACAAAGTGTTTTGCAACAAACCGACATTCTCGCATTATATTTGTTGCTGTTTGATATAGAAGCTTAATATGTTATTTATTGTATAATTTGTTTTCTAATTGAAACTTGCTGAATTGAGCCATTTGACTTGTGTAATATTCAAACATTTGCGGCAAAGGAAACGCCATCATATCCAGTTTTTCGGGAGGTTTCCAGTAACTGTTTTGCTGATTTAAAGGGAATTGTCCCCTTCTCTATAAAATGAGTCGGTGAGAAAGCTAATAGCTTTGTTTCTTCCTACTTGAATCAGATCATCTAAGAATTTAAAAAAATCTGGGTGATTTTTGGCTTCTCACCACAAAAAGTAACATTTTTATGCATTGTTCTTAAACTCCTGATGTCTCATCAACGGAAGGAAAACAAGAAGTGAGACTGTTGAAACTTGAAATGTAATCGGGGCTTCTAACAGGAAACCTTTTAAAAAGACTTCTGTAGAAGAGCAGAACCTCTGGCTCCACTTATGATATTAAAGGGGCATTATGGAAGTTTGACAGCCAAAACATGTATAGAAATAATAAATGTCTTCTTCATACATTCTCCTGCAATGTCCTGGTCCTGTAGAATGAGCTCTGGCATTTTTACTGTGATTGCCTGTTTTTCTGTAAAATCACAGAAAAAGAGAGCTGCTCGGGTCGAGCAGGCTGCTTCATGCGCGTTCACGCTCAGGCATCGCCCGTAGCATTTGCTATCTGTAGCTTTAGCAGCAGAGAGAGAGAGGCAGTGCCAACTCAGTGACATTGTCGCTGTTCCTAACGCCTAGTGATGAACCTAGCTACATTTCTGAGGACCCTTGGCTACTTTCTGTAGAACTTTCTTCTAGATATTTCCTGCAAATTAGCAACTAAATAGCCATTTTCGCTTCGAACCGTTTACTGGATTGACGTTGTTTCAGGTGTCATCAAGGATATAAATGTTACAGATACTGTGAATGTTACTAGAGTGTAGCTCACCTTGTAAGATGTCTGACTCCCATGCAGAAGACCTGTGTTCGATTCTGGATGTGAACATAGTTTATTTGGAGTTTCTTTTTTACTTTAATGGTATATTTTTTTACAGTAAGATGCCCACATTTTTATTTGAGACTCGCCGAACGGCATTGAATTCACGGATAAAAAAGATGTGGGTTCAACTTTCATTTTGGAACAATTTTTCAAGCAAGGGAAGGGAATGATCTGAGCATGCAGGAGGACTGACCCATCATAAACCTTTGTCGGCTGTGCTGAAGAGAAAGGTACAGAACCACATTATTTAATTAGCTGTGCGTTCTCCTGAAACCCCCCCCCCCCCCCCACACACACACACACACACACACACACACACACGGGACTGTCTCAGCTGTTATTTTCGTTAAGGAGTGTGCACATACAGCATGTGCGCCTCGTGCACGAGCCTACTATTGAAGCTGCCGTTATGCTTTTGGCCTGAGGGGGCAATTGCGAGCATAAAAGTTCAAAACTCCGTTAAGTCCCTTTTAAAGAAATTTCTTTCAAAATTTGAAGATTTTTAGAATCTAGGTTAGATTTTTAGCTATAAACAACTATTTTCAAATGGGTTTTAAAACTTTATTGCAACACGACCATTTTTTTTAATGTCTGCATTTGTGTAATTTTTTTCTCATTGAGGCATGAAATAAGTTTCACTTTTGACCACCAGAGGGAGCTCTTTATATTTACTCTGCCTGTTTTAACTGATGTTAGTTCAGATTTCTTAAGTTCTCGTTAGCCACTCATGCTTTTTTTTGTTTGTTTCTTTGGTGTTTAGGTGCTAAAGTCATTGTAGCATGTCGGGACATGGAGAAAGCTCAGGTGGCTGTGAAGGAAATAATAGAAATCTCTGGGAATGACAACGTTGCTTGCATGAAACTTGATTTGTCAAATAGCAAATCAATCAGAGAATTTGCAGAAGCCATCAATAAAGGTAAAATTACAAGTTCCTTAGACAACTGTTAAAGCATCTACAAGATATTTATTTTATTTATCTATTTATTCCAACAGATGAGCCAAAACTCAACCTCCTCATCAACAACGCCGGTGTGATGGTTTGTCCGTACGGGAAAACGGCTGACGGCTTTGAGATGCAGATCGGTGTCAATCACTTTGGTAAAATCAACCGATCAGAAACTGAGCTTTTGTTGTAGCTGTTCCCTGAAATGACCAACTTTAGCAAACATGAATGGCTGCAAGTCAGTTACAGATTCTGGGATTAATTTTGGGGTTCATTGATACTGAATCATCCTTTTAAGATCGCCTTACCTTCTTTTCCAAAACTCAAACATGTTAAAAGTTGAGCATGGAAGCCTTTCGTTTAATATGTTTTGCATTGATTAGAAACTAAATTGTATCCAAAAAAAAAGTCTAAATTCAAATCAGTTTTTGGATTCTGTGCATATTTTTTGACTTCAGTCTTGTTGGATATCCAGAATCTATTAAGCACAGAAACTGGTCAGTGAAATCCATTCAATAATTTTGACCAAGCTTATTTTGTCATTTCTAAATTATTCTGTTTTCAAATTTCCATATTTTATCATTTGTAAAGATTTTTATTCCTAAAAATAAACTAAATTCAAAACACATTAAAGTGGGTCTGATTGGGGCTTTCAGCCTCAATGAATTTTCATGTTCTGTTTTTAAATTTATTGCAAATATAATGTCTTATTTACATCAATTAACAATAAAATACTGTTTATCAGTAAGATTTGATGCACTGATGCTTGATTAAAAAAATCCAAATAACTCCCTTTGTTACATAGAGTTCATCAAACAGCTATCGGAACATTTTCCATGACAGATTTTAAGTGTTTGATAAGTTATGATCAATAATTCTACCCCGATGGAGCGGTTTCCATCAGGAAGTACTGAGTTTGATAATTAGTGGAAGGGTGTCTTAACTGAACTTAACCAGCCTACCTGTCCTCTAACTTAAAGAAAACATCAGAAGTGAAGATTCTTTTGAAAACAGTTGAATGATTGCTTGGTGGAGTTAAGTTTTAGACTCCTTAATTACAATTTTATACATTTTAAAATGTTTTTTGTTCCTTTACCAGGTTACAGATGTAGTCAAATATTTACTATTGTGTTTTAGTTCTGAGATTTTCCCTTTATAAACGCCAGACCAAGATTGCAAAGTATTTTCTTCTCCAGGTCATTTCCTGCTGACCTATTTGTTGATCGACCTGATTAAAAGATCGGCCCCGGCCAGAATCGTCACGGTGTCCTCCATGGCTCACTCCTGGGGCTCCATCAACTTGGACGACATCAACAGTGAGAAGAGTTACAGCAAGAATAAAGCTTATGCTCAGAGCAAGCTCGCTAACATCCTCTTCACCCGTTCTCTGGCGAAAAAATTAGAAGGTTTGTGTTACTGCTGGAGGATTTTTTTATCTGGGATTTAGACTTTATAGATGCTCTGGTCGATCAGCTGGTGTCAGATGATTTATTTTCCTTCTGACCTACAAGATGTTTAAAGATTTTTTTTTGTTTTGTGTTATATTTTGCAGTCCGAACACAATAAGTGGTAAAACCAGTATCTGACTGAGCTGAGATTATTGCACATACATTGCAAATAGTCTTTAAAAAAGTTTCCAAATTGTCTCAAGGTTAGCAAGAGATTCCTTCAGTGAATTGTTCTCGTCTTGCAGGGAATTAGAAAAAGTCCGAAATCTGTCTTGAACAAAAAAAAAAAAACCTGTGCAGGAAATGTGAGACGGTTTAAAAGTAACGTATAAAGTTTCCTTCTTCCCCTGCTGGCTGAAAATGGAATTACAATCTTGGCACAGGCTTTGCGTATAAACTGTTGTCAGATGAGGTGTTCTGTTTAGCTTGTTTTTATGAGTGTGTTTAAGAATTATTGGTAGTTCAGGCAAAAATCAGAACTTTGCTTGCTACATTATTTTATGTAGTTTGAAAGGGAAGCAGGGTGCACCAGTGTTGACCCGTTTCAGGTCCGTTTGTCTGGTTCACACTTTCTTTGCTTGACTTCCGAAGACTTTACTTTCTTTTGTTTTGCTTCCAGGCTCTGCCATGGGAATCATTCTTAACTAAGTAAAAATTGTTCACCAAAGGTGATGGTTTATTTTCTTTAATGTTGTCGTAGCAATACACCGGCTACACCGGGCTCACCCACACCACTCGGACCACACAGCTTGCAGGTTCAACTCTTTATTATCTCTCTCAGCTCTGCTCTCATGACCGTCTCGGTCACCAGAAGAGTCCGACTCCAGGCTGCTTCTCCCTCTCCGTCTCCAGCACCTGTGCCTATGAAGCACCTCCTGCTGATCGCCATTCAGACCAGTCTGTTACTAGTTGTGTTTAAAATGGACTCATTCTGTTCACTGGCCCGTTTATTAGCCTAAATTAGTCAAATGCGTTCATTTTATTTATTTTTTTGTTCCACACAGAGTTGTATTTTGTTTTGTCCAGGAACTGGTGTGACAGCGTACTCTCTCCACCCTGGAGTTGTTCAGACAGATTTGTGGCGTCACCTGAGCGCCCCTGAAAAATTTTTCATAAAGATCGCCAGTCCCTTTACCAAGAACTCCGTCCAAGGAGCTCAGACCACCATTTACTGCGCAGTAGAACCATCTCTGGAGAAGGAAAGCGGTGGATATTACAGGTAATTTATCAAGTTCATGAGATAACTGGCCGCAATGGCTTCTGGGTTGGGTATCACATTAAACAATAATTAAGGTAAGGGGATCTGTGGAGGTTTATTCGTTCATCTATTTGTTTTCCAACAGTGACTGTGCTGCTGCCAGCTGCTCAGCTGCAGGGAAAGACGACGAGGTGGCGCAGAAGTTGTGGGAGCTGAGCTGTCGGATGCTCTCCATATCGTGGGATTAAAGCGACAAGAAGAAACGGTTGCTTTACTAATTAATACAGGGCCACTTAATTACAAACACTGCCTCTAAAGGGAAGGATGGCCTTAATTTATAAGTACTTACTGGTATGGTCAACAGTCCTTTAGCAGCTCTTGTTCTGGCTTTCGTCTAAAGTGTGTTTCACATACTGAGTTTGTAGATGTTTTCTCTATTTGGACGAATGTTTTTAATGAATACAAGAATGAAATTATTTAAAGTGTTTTTCTACATTCCCCCCAAAATTCAAAATTTATTAAAATGTGACGTATTGACATTTTCTGTATATTTATAACTGGATACATTACCACACACACACACACACACACACACACAAAACATTCAGTTGGTGAAAGTGCCTCCCCTGATGTTTCATGTGAATTATTTTCCTGTTCTAAATATATGAATTAAAGATGTTTTAATATTCAACAACATCTTTGTCATGTTTTCGAGTCTAAACTCAAGAATATTGTCCATCTGAATAATAAAAACAGATTAAAGCCTAGAACAAGTGGAGTTCCTCAGGGCTGTTTGTTTAGTCCTCTGTTCTCCCTGCACATCCTTCCTCTACATTTGGATATGTTTCACAGTTATGCTCATGTTCAGATTTATTTTTAATTAGAATACTCTAGGTCTGCCTATGACTGTGTACAGGTGGTACCAAGGTCCGTCTCTTGTGCACACAGGTGATTGTACCTTTTGCCATCATTGCAACAGATATAGCTCTGTGACTATTTACTTTAACTCAATCATAAACCAGAGGGTTAGACTCAAGGCCGGATTAACCATATGGGCAACTGGGCAATTGCCCAGGGCCCACAAACTCTAAAGGGCCCAGGGCAGCAAGGGCACGAGCAAATCTATAATCTCCCGCTTTATATTAAACTAGTGTGACCGTACGTCCCGTTTTCCCCGGACATGTCCGCTTTTCACTCTGTCCTGGATGTCCGGGTTCTTGTATTGATGAAAATGTCCGGCTTTTCATCCAGGAGCAGGGATGGGGGAGCTGTATATCCTACACATCCGGGGAGCCGGAAAAAAGTTTTCTACCTATATTACTATATTATCATTCATGGACTCTTTTCAGCAGAGAGCGGCAGAGCGATGATCGGTGCGCAGCGCTCCAGGCTGCTGCGTCCAGCGCACGGTCCATTCTCAAAGTGGCGCAACCAAAAAACTATAATTAGCACACGATCGTTCATGTCTGCACATGTTCTCTACTTTCTGTCTTATTTGTGCCTGAAGCGCTCTGCCACTGCGGAGCTCATCACCTGTGCTGCGGTGATTTCACCTCACTGACTCATCGAAACACGCTCTCCGCTTTGTGGTCAGGAGATCCCTTTGATCAGGTCAAAAGTAACCGATGAGGTGAAAAAGTAAGAATCCAGGCAGCAGTTTTTCTGGAGAATTAAGAGGAGATGCAGGAAGATATAGTTAAATAAAAACAAGAAAACAAAACAAAGTGTTGAAAAGTAAAATGTAGGTAGATTTATCTCTACTACACGTTTTTACCTGCAAAACAATAAGTTATACACATGTAATATTTATACATCTGATACAATTCAGATCACCTTCAAAACTCACTCACACACCCAGGGCCGTTTCAAGACATTTTGGGGGCCAAGGCAAAATGACCCCCCCCCCCCCCCCCAACCACTAAACCCCCCCCCCCCCCCCCCCCCCCCATAACTGGGCTCCCCAGAAGCCTCTGTGTAATCCATACCCTCTCCAGTAGTGTTAGTTATACAGTGTTTATAAAAGCCCCTCAGACATCACTGACATGTTCTAATATTATCAGATGAAAAACTAAATTATCAGACATGCTGTCTCATCTGCTGCTTTTCTAAATTTGCAAAAAGTAACAAAACCATTTGAAAGCCACTATTTGTGGATTCTCTGAAAGTTTCCAGTGTGACAACTTATTTTATCATTGATCCTATCGTCTAATCTCACAGCTGAAACAAGCATCCTTGATAATCTGTGCACAGGAAGCTTACCGATGCTGTAGTAAAACAAAAGTTATAATTTATTATTAATAAAACCTTGTTGCAGCACTAAAGCAGAAAAATGAGATTTTGCAGTAAATTTGCTAAGTATTTATTGTTTTAGAGCCCTTTTATTGGCAGAATCTGATATTAATTTAGTTCTTACAAAAAAATGGGTCCAAGAGTTGTGTGGCGTTGCCATAGTGTGACGTCATAGGCACAGATCCCCTGTCCTCTTTTTTGGAAATGGAAATATGGTCACCCTGTATTAAACAAACTGTCCACCCGGGCTTTTGCACTGCACAGAGACGCTTCGCTGCCAATGACTTTGAACGTCAGTTGAGAGTCAGTCTCATGCAGACTGACCAATGAAGACAGGGCCTCAAGTTATGACCCTCTCCTCATTGGTCAGTCCACACAAGGTAGGTCAAAGGTTACCCTGAGCGGGTTACGTGATGTCAGGCATTCAAGTATTGATGAGTATATTTACTGCATATTACAGTAAAATATTCTGTATGTGACCATATTATGGTGATCCTTGGGTTGTGATGATGGGGCCCTTGAATATTGTTGCCCAGGGTACGACAAAGTCTTAATCTGGCCCTGGTTAGACTGTTTCCCCTTTCGTACATTTTTAGTTTCTGTTTAGAACTTTGGTCAACATAAGTTGTTTTAAATGTGCTTGATAAGTAAAATTTTACTGTCTGGTCTAGATAAATATTAACTTTAGTAATGAAGCTTTTCTGTGTAAATGCAGTAGCCTCATTAAACCTCATTTGGGCTTTTCTGTAATTAGTGTGAACATAAGCATCATTTACATAATTTAATGATATATATAATAAAGCAGATCAGCCGGCTTTTGGAGAGTGCAGACACTTTTTTCCTCTCTCTCATCCGTATCTTATCCCAAGGCTCTTTGTCTGTCTTTGGGTGTACAGCGCTTCTACATTTTTTCTGTTAACTGGAAATTATTAAAAATGGACCTAGTCAGTTGGTCTCTCAATGCGATTGACAAAATTTTCTCAACGATGAGAAAGGGAGAAGGGGCTCCCGGATGCCCCTCTGGGACAGAGCCAGTTGGGCATATCATGGACTCCTGGAAACAGTGGAACCTGATCTGCCTCTCTCAGCTGTCTGTAGAAGATTCTGAAGACGTCTGGATATTCGTGGTGTTGGTGTCAAGTGTCCTGCTCTTTGGCCTTGGAGGTTACCTGACTTACCGGAAAATTAATGAGCTATCGAGGAATATTGGCTCACTCCCAGAGCTCAGAGATGGATTGCACCGCGCTGTGAATTCACAAACTCATATGATTGTCGAGAAGAGTCGTAAGCTTGGAACTTTGGCTAAGATTTATGCGTTGGCACAAAAGATGGATGCGATCAAGGAGCGAGTGGACGAATCAGCATGGATTGGGATAGATTAATCTACGCCATTATTGGATTTAGAGGGGTTGAGGACCAGCGGAACTTTAAGGCAGAGAGGAAATTATCTCTGTATGGCCCACAAACAATTTCTTATCTGAATCTGGTGTCCTTGAGCCTGTGAAGCTGAAATGAATACCCTCTCAGAAGAAATGTGGAATGCTGCCATCGCCATGGCAACTCTGTCTCCCTATCCCAGCCTGGGCGGGACTGCGAGCTGTGAAGGCTGCTGAATCATTCCAGGAGTCACTGTGCTCTGTAAACCCAATGACCTCCCACCCCTTTCCAGACTGAGGTGACGAGCGCTGCTTATCGCGGCTGCTGCTGACGTGTGGAGAGTCCCAAATCCCTACCACCCCACCTAGTGGACACTTATGTTGTGTAATGTCTGAAGTTTGTTACATTTCTGTCTGAGGCGTTTTTTGCAAAGCAAAGCTGCCCTCCCTGTGGAGGGTAACTCTGAAGTGCCTTTTTTTTCCTCCACCAGACCCAATCCTCATATATAAAACCTCTGATCTCTTTTTAAGGTAGCGCGACTCGGGTTGCGAATGACCACAGTTACCAATTCTTGTCATGTGTCTATGCCTATGTATGTCTGATCTCAGAATTGTGTGTACTGAAACTCTAATTTCCCTCTGGGATTAATAAAGTATCTTTGAATTGAATTGAATTGAATGTGTGATTATGATGGGGTATTAACAGGCAAAAAAAATCCTGTTAACTTCCTCTTTAATTTTCTTATCTAGTCACACTATATTTGTAGGGCAATTTCTTACCCTATGTCCAGCTTTATCCCATCGAAAGCATTTTTTGTTCTCAGTTTCTCTGTCTCTGTTCTTCATCTGCAACCCCCCCCCCCTATCTATTGTCTTAGATTCATGCACTTTATTTGTGTGTTTAGTTGAGGCTACGTCGTCGTCTTCCTCCGCCTATCCGGGTCCGGGTCGCGGGGGCAGCATCCCAACTAGGGAGCTCCATACCGTCCTCACCCTGGCCACCTCCACCAGCTCCTCCAGCAGGACCCCAAGGCGTTCCCGGACCAGATTGGAGATGTAACCTCTCCAACGTGTCCTGGGTCGACCCGGGTGCCTCCTGCCGGCAGGACATGCCCGAAACACCTGCCCAGAGAGGCGTCCAGGAGGCATCCTGGCCAGATGCCCAAACCACATCAACTGACTCCTTTCGATCCAGAGGAGCAGCGGTTTTACTCCGAGTCCCTCCCCAATGTCCGAGCACCTCACCTCACCTCACCCTATCTCTAAAGCCTGATTTATGCTTCTCCGTCTGCGTCAGTGCGGAGACACACAACGCCATTATCCGTCCTTGCGTAGGGCTCCGGCAGGCACGTAAGTACGTACGGAGTCGAGCCCACTTTTTTAAACATCCGTCGAATGAGACGGATTACGCAAGCTTGTGATTGGTCAGGACGCCGCTGTTGTTTACAGCGCCGCCATTGCAAAGAGAGCCGAGGATAACAGCGGCAGACACGGAGAAGCTTGAAGAATACCTCGCGAAAAAACTCTAAAAATACAAACGTTTAACTCTCCCGTGACTGGAGGAGTGAAAAGATGCGCAGCAAGCGTTTTATTTGTGGACGGAAATGACAGGAAACGTGGATTTAGAGGTGGGGAGCGCATGAAGCGGTGGGAGAATGAGAGACAAATATGTCCATGTTAAAAGTCTCTTATATACACAAAAAACACAATATAAACAAACGATATTGGACCGATACATGATAGGATACCACAGAACAGCGCTACGCCCTCTGTTGTCCTGCCGGGCAATTGCTTTGCAACACTCTCCAGGAGACGGAGAAGTAAAAGAGCAAAACGCTTCCGTCAATCCGTGCGTGTCTGTCCCTTGCGGAGCTGATGGAGAAGCATAAACCAGGCTTAAGGCTGAGCCCAGCCACCCTACGAGGGAAATTCATTTCGGCCGCTTGTATCCCTGACCTCGTTCTTTCAGTCATTACCCAAAGCTCATGACCATAGGTGAGGATTGGGACGTAGATCGACCAGTATATCG